CGGAACATCTATATTTTCATTATCTTCATCCGAAAATATATTACCGTAATCGTCTAAAGGGATGTGATAAATGTCTTCATCATCACCTGTAACAGGAAATATATAATTTTAAAGTAAAATTATCAAATATCGTTTTTATGTATAACAGAAATATAATTTAAAATAATGAATAACAGGCAATCACAAACATTAAAAATTTGTTGAATGTATTTAAATATATTATAAAATTTGTAAACTTGCAATGTTCAATGTGATATAAAATCATTGTATAATATCAAGAGGCACGGTAGTGCCTCGCGCCAAGTTCACGCGCAACGAAGTTGCGCTCGTACTGCGCGAGCACGCCGTGCCTCTTATACGCGAGATTGAGGTTTTTCAGTGGAGGGGAGATTTGTAATCAGCTATTTCTTCACAACGACTAAACCGATCGACTTCTTTTTGGACTCGTTCGATTCGCGTTGAAAAAATGAAGAAAAAAGTATTCTTGCGATTTTTTGCTCTGTGGCTTCTGAACGGAGATTTTTACAAGAAAACGAAAATGTGTGTGTGAAATCACGTTGTTCCGGAAACGTCGTCTCCAATGTGCAAAGGAATGTGCATGTTCGTAATGCTTCTAAGAGATGGCGGTATGTATATGGTTTTATTACATTATAGATATACTATGCTATGTTAATCAAGAGGCACGGTAGTGCCTCGCGCCAAGTTTACGCGCAACGAAATAGTGCCATATGAAGTGGTTGTTTTTGTTCCTGTTCATTTTAAAATATGTATAAAAAACATGTAATCGCTATATAATCGCTACTTTTGTAATACACTTCGTTTTTTACGTTCTTTAACTTTCGTAAAATATGTTCTTTTGCTTGGTATTGTAAACGTGTTACGAGGTTATGTATTGGACAAATATGTGTGACAATTAGTATATCCATAGCACATTTGCTGTATCCTTTGTTAATAAAGGTATTTTGTGCTTTATTAAATTGTTAATGTTTTGCAAGTTAATGTCTCTTTTTAAGAATTATGTGAAATTTTNAAACATCTAAGTACAAGTTTATTATTGTTGCAGAAGAAGAATAATAAAGAAAAGAAATATTGGTCAAAGAAATCTGGTAAACTAGTAATAACTAGAAAATCTGCAAGACATGAAATAATAGTGCCTAAGCAGTGTGTATCTGTTTACAAGACATACCTACAAATAGAAAAAGCTATCTTTGTCCATAGCAGTTTTTTGCTGTATCCTTTGTTATAATTAATAATGGTAATTGTGTGCTTTTTAAATTATTTATATTAATTTCTTGCAATTGATGTCTTTTCATAACAATTATATTATATGTGAAATTTTAATTAATATTTTAATACAATTGTTGCAGAAAAAGAATAAGAAGAAAAGAAAAAATCTGGAAAAGTAGTAACTAGAAAACCTGCAAGACTTGAAATAATAATGGTTTTGTAATTATTAAGGAAAATGTGAACTATTAAATGGCCAGCATGCTTAAAACTACAAAAACCTTTAGGTACAAAACTTAGTTTCTTAAGCAATTTTCGTAAAGGTATACTTTTATTTTGTTTTTTTTCTTAAGGAGGTAAAAAAGAACACAAGCTATTAATAAAGGGTACTATTGAGGAAAGAAGAACTATATCTCTGAGAAAGGTGACAATTATATGACAACTTTATTCTTACTATTGTACATCTTTTGTTTAATATGTTTTTCAGGGAAAAAAGGAACGAGAGGCGGAAATAAAAGAAGATAACGTGGATCCAATCCAAAATCGCAGCCGCAGCCGCGGCCGTGGTTCTCGTGGCAGCAGTCTTCAAAATGTTTTTAATTTCTGTTAATTGTGTTATATCTTTTATTATCATCTCACTCGTCACTCTTCTCTTTACTTAGTTTTTTTGTCCGGCAAAAAAACATTTATATATAAACGTTTACTTTGTAAAGTATCAAGCCATACTCATTGTTT